GGGCGTACCTGGGTCAGGCAGAGCGGGGACGAATACATCCCGGGCGGGCGCGGCGGGAGGCGCAGGGCCGGCCGGAGCGGGCGCGCTGAACTTACTGAGTCATTTTTCCAAACCCCCCCCCGCGGCCGCGGCCGGCGCGCTCCTCGCCGCCTCCTCCCTCGGGCTCCCTCCTCCCTCCTCCCTCCCGCGCTCCCTCCCTCCCTCCGTCTCTCTCTCCCTTTCCTGTCTCCCCTCCACCTCTCCCTCTCTGCTCCTCCGTCTCTGTCTCTCCCTGCGTCTCTGTCTCTCCTCCTCCTGGCCACCTCCCCCCAGTGGCTCTCCCCTCCCACTTCTCCGCATCCAACTTTCAAAGAAACGAGGGAAAAAAAGAGCGCGAGCCAGGAAGGAAAGCCGCTTCTCCCCCCCCACCCCCCGACCGTGCTCATGATCCCCCATCACCGCGATGAGCGCGCATCTCCAGCCGCCCCGGTCCCCCCGTTGGGGACCACCGCGCCGCGCGCACCCCACCGCAGCCAGGGTCCGGGGGGGAGGGGGAGGGGGCGTTGTTGCTGGACATTTGGGGGCCGGAGGTCGATTTTTAAGACCCCCCTAACCCGCCCCGAGCTGGCCGGGAAGTTGGAGACACGAGCCAAGTGGGGGGGGGTGGGGGGTGAAGAAGTGACGTGTGCAGAGGCCGGGCGAGCGCGTGTCTTTCCCCTTAAAGATGTAGGACCCCGGTACAGGGCAGGAGAGGGGTCCCACGGCACCCGCTCCCCCGAACAGGGGCTGCGGTTCCCCGCTGAGAGGGGCTTGGCTACAACCAGAAGGGCCCAGCTACCCCGGGAGCTCCCGGGAATCTGCTCTCTCCTGTGCCAGCACCAAAGGGGAACTGGGGAGGGGCACTTTGGCCTCCCCCATATATCTCCCCAGCACCCCAGGAGGGTGGTAACCAGGCGGCACCTCACGCTGCCCAGATAAACCGCTGCAGCCTCTTCTCCGGTATTTAGGAAATCCGACTGACCCCAGCGGTGTGTCCATTTCACGGATTTGGAAACTGAGGCACCCTGAGTGGCTTGGAGCCCGGCCATTTGGCCCCAGAGCCCACATTCTTAAAGCTCCCTTGTTCCCCCTCTAGAATAACGAGGCACAGACCTGCCTCCCGCAGGCAGCCCCAAGGGCACCCGATGACCGCGGCCTCAACCCTCCCCCGTTCCCTCCCTGAATCCTCCCAGCCAGCTCAGAGGCCTCACAGCTCTACTCCCACCTCGCAGGCCAGGCGATGAGGACCCTCGCCTCCGCCCCTCCTGTCCTCCCCCGGAAAGCGGACTAACAGGGCCCGCCCCATGGGGTCGGTCGGCAGCTCCAAGACAATGACCCTTAGCAGAGCCTCGACCTCCCGTTGAGTGTGCCCCAGACATTCTTAGAAAGCTTGGCCATTCTGACTGGTCTCTCTGAGCATCCTGAGGCCGAATGATACCCATTTCCAGGGGCACGGAAGATGCCAGCAATCCAGTCATTCCCCCGTGTTACAGCGGAGGAAACTGAGGCCCAGAGGCCGGGAAGCCACTGGCCCAGGGCCCCGGGGCTGTGGCTGACGGTTATGCAAACAGTGCTCAGCACATCCTGAGGGCTTCGCAAATGGTTAAGAACCCCACTGGGCAGCTGTGGGGGGCATTTAAAACCCCCCTGGACGAATGGGGGAGGCAGCGTCCAGGAACCCAAATCCCAACACCCAGCAACGTGAAGCAAGATTTTATTATTTAAAAAAGTCACGAACACGTAGAGGGCACAGTCCCCAATTCACAGATATTTCAAATCAAAGTTGGCTTCAGAGCATTCCCCCCGGTGGCAGCGACCGCTGGGCTGCCCCCTGACTCTGCCCCGCCTACGACCTTCAGGGTGAAGTTTGGGGAGTACAGACTGCCCCTCTGGGACCTCGGTTTCCACATCTGTAAAATGGCCACGGGGGATGCATCTCGGAAGGCTGGGGAGATCAGAGTCCCCGAGGTTACGTGTGTGAAGACTGTTAATATATTAGTGGTGGTGGACGGTAGAACCTTCTGCGTGCTATTCTAGTTTGGGCAGGAGGTGCCCCTGTCGTGCACACAGTAGGTCCACAGCTGGCCAGCGGTGCGGCAACGTGGCAGCCTGGGTCTAGGTCTCCCCCAGCCAGCAGCTCAACCTCCCTGTGCCTCAGTTTCCCCTGGTGTGAAATGACACTGTGATGGTTCCTCCCCTCTGGGTTGTTGTGGGGAACCAGCAAATGCTCAGAGACCTTAGAACACTGCCAGGCATACAGTGGCTTCTTAACCAAGCAGTTGGTGGATGTGGACCTGTGCGTGTGAGGGCGCAGAAGGGGGTCGCATGATATAGCTCCTGGCTTTGGAGCACAATTAGGCATTTGTTAAAAAATAAAAATGCACTCTGCCCATAACTCACTCAGGCTTCTCTGTAACTGTCCCAGATACAGATGCACAAGCGTGTTGACTGTCATCCTATAACAGTAATGTCAACAATTGGGAGCCGGTCCCCGTGTCTATCACTGGGGGGGCCAGTTCAGCAATGCAGACACAGCACAGGCTGGAATATTACACAGCTCCGAAAAAGGACGGGGGCTCCCATCTGCAGATGTCTCCAAGAGACAGGCAGGGGCAAAGCGAGCTGGAGGCCGGGGTCTGCCCCCCTCCTCCTCCGTGCCAGTTGTGACAACCACAAATGTCCCCAGACATCGCCCAGTGTCCCCTGGGGCAGACCCACCCCCGGCTGAGAATCCCCGTAGACTCAGCAAGTCAATTCAAGACCTCATTTGGGATTTTTAAAAAAAGAACAAACATGGATCCTTTATAAGAATGTATTTCTGCTCCATGTGCAGTGGCTCAGACAAAGCTGGATGTGAACAGTGGGGTCCCCCCGGGGTCGGGGTGATGAGGAAGGTTTGATTTTCACTCTGGACATCTCTTAACCCTCCTTAGATGCTCATGAACGGCTTGTGTAATTAAAAAGTAAATTTTTACACAGTGAGTGGAGTTCACAGAGCTGCTCAGGCAGGGAAGGTAAGTCCACAGCTGCCATCCCCAGAGAACGGAGGACACAGCCCAGGGCCAGGTCTGTGAGTGCGTGGCGTGACAGGGCCACCCCTCCTCCGCCCTGGCGCGGGGTCCTGTGTGATCCCATTTTACAGATGAGAAACTGAGGCTCTAGAGGGGATGTGAAGGTCCTCGGTCTTGAGGAGTAAAGGTGGGGTATGACACTAGGGCTGGCACAGACACACACAAGACAGAGACACAGACACAACACACACACAATAACACAGGATACACCACATCCTTGCTCCTCCCACGGCCGTGCCCATCAACTCCCCCCAGAGCTGGGGTCTCTGCTGTCCCAGCCCCGCAGGGACACGGCTGGGACATGGAGGTGGGGGGAGGGCGGGAGGGGGTTGTCCCCTCCCGGTCCCACAAACACAGGTGCCGGTCTGTGAGTGTGTCTGTGTATCTGTGTCCGCGTGCGGGTCTGTGTGGGGTTGTGTGTGCGCCTGTGTGTGCACGGAGTTATGTACACGTGTGGCTGTGGACGGCGTGCCCTGAGGGCGTGTCCCACCGTGCCCCAGGCGACAAGTGGGACGGTAAGGACGGAGCGGAGCGTTGTGGAGGGCAGGCCAGGTGTCTGACCGCAGGATTGGAGGGGCCTGGGGGGGGGCGGTTCAGGAGCACATGACTCTGTGTGGTGTGTGTACGTATCCCCGTGTGGATGTGGGTCCCTGCTTCCTCCAGAACAGCCCCCCGCAAATGGCACGCAGGTTTAAAGTAAAAAGCAGACACTTGCGCCTGCGCCTAGGGCTTGTATATTTAGAAAATTATACAAAGGCCCAGGGGTGGGGGGAGCGGTGGGGATTCCCCTGGGGGGTGAGTGGGGGAGCAAGCAACACCGCGCGCCCCGCCTGGCTAAGCGCTGGGAGGCACGACTCGGGGGGCGCCTCCCAGCAGAGGGGGTGAGGGGGTCTCCTGGGCCCCGACCCAGCCCCCGAGCGCCTCTAACTACCCATCCCTCCGGACCTCCCCTGCGGGGGAGTCGGGGACCCCCGCCGCCCCGCCCCCCTCGGGGCAGGTCCCCGCGCACGCGCAGCCCCTGGCGGGAGACGTCGCCGCCACCGAGCGCTCGCGTCCCGGCGCCACCTCGCGCCCGAACCTCAAGCCGGGACCACTTGAGGACCCCGAGGCGGGGGGACGTGGGGGGGACAGGGCCGGGGTGCGATGAGGGGACAGAGCTTTGGCAAGGTAGAGGAAGCATCCGCCACCACCCACCCCAGCAACCCCGGTTACAGGAAAAAAAAAAACTGGGGGGAGGGGGGCGAGGGGAGAGGGTGTAGACCCATCCCCAGGAATAGTCAGTCAGCGCCAGTCACCGGCACTCAGCGACAGCCAACTGTCCCCTGGGACGCAGCCACACGACACAGTTCCCCAATCCCCGGCAACCCCCTAACTGCCACACACTCACACAGGGACACCACACGGTCACCCAGGGGCATCGCGGCCCCCGGGGATACACGACCCAGCTTCACAACACCGCCCCACAGGGACATATGGCACGGCGCCCAGTTACCCAAAGACACGCGCACCGTCCCACAGCCGCACAATGCTCTCAGCCACACGCAACACAACACACACGGCCACGTGGATGCGCAGACACACACAGACGTAAAGCAGAAAACCCGATGCCACGGGACCCACGGACCCACGGAGCGGGATGGGACCCCCAGACGCAAGGCCCCGCGAACGCACCCCCGGATTCTCGTGCTGACCCGTTTGGGGAGCAAGGAGCCCCCAAACGCACCCCTCAAGTGCGGATGCTACCCATGCCCGCGGACCGGACACGGAACCCTCGAGTGCAGCCACCGACGCGCGGGGCCTGGGGCGCGCCAGGCCGAGACCTGGTGACCCCTCGGGGCTGGGCCCCCTGGTGACCCCGCGTGCGCCGCGGCGGGG